GCTGCGGCAGGGCCGGTCCCCTCTGGCCAGAGAGGGAGTGGCCGGGCAGCTGCTTCTGGTCTTCGGGCACCACAAACTATGTGACCCTGTTGCACCCAGGGCCAGGAGGCTCCTCCACCTCCAGCATGCCAGCCCTGCGATGGGGAATGAAGGCTCCCAAAGATGCCTGGCAGGACCGAAGCAAAACATCCACGTCGCAAGGCTTGGGGGACTGTAGCTGGGGATTCCCCCCTGACCAAGTCCTCCCGCACATCCCATCGGAGGGGAAAAGCCTGGCCGCAGCCCGAGTGACAAACGCAGGTGGGATTGCTCCTGTGCCGTCCCTGCTACGGGTCAGCATCTCCAGTGCGGGAGCAGCGGGGCCGCCTGGCACTTCGTTAACCTTGAAACCCTCTCTGGCTCCCATGTCACGTCAGCCGGTGACGACGACAAGCTGCTATTCCAGATTAGAGAGAGAGGGACAGAGAAAAGTCCAAGACAAGAGGGTTGGGGGCGGCTAACTTACCTATTACAGCCAAAAGTGGGCATGGGGTTATTTTTAACCCGGAGTGGGATGTATTTCTTGTGAGGACTCCAGACACCTCTCGCAGCAACATCGGCGGCTGTGCGAAGCCATGGTGAGTACCGAGAGCCTGAGGCTCCCGCAGGAAAAGGCAAGATCTGTTAGCTTCTTCACCAGGACAGCTTTAACGGGCACGGAGCGGTGGAGGTGACAGGGAGGTGATGGCCAAGGATCCCTCCCGCCCCAGAAAGGGGGTCCGCAAGCCGGGGAGCATCTGGCTGCATGGGAAGCATCCTACGGGGAACAGCGAGGTGTCTCCCACGCTAGCAGAGCTTTCTAACTGGAGCAGACCACTTTGGGGTCCAAACAATATCTTTCTGCTTCCCCTTCCTCCATGCAGCGAGAGGAAGGGCCGTTGTGTTCCCTAAAACCATCCCGCGCTGCCTCCTCCTGGCAGACCCCCCCAATTAGAGGGAAAAGGCGCCGGAGGGCGCGGCCGGGCAGGGTGGGTTGGTGCGTGGCTCTGTCCTCTGCTCCTGTTCAAAAGACATCAAACCATTTCTGGTTGTTTCAAGCCTCAATGCAGAAGGAGACAGATTTTTTTAATAAGCAAACATTTTAATAAGTGGTGATTTAGTGAGAGGCTCAGAAAGGTAAGGAAGCACCTAACAACTACAGCCCTTGCGTGCAACCTCAGCACCGCTCCCAGACCCGGGTTTCCATCAGGGAACATCTCACCTCAGTGCCGATCCCTTTACCTGCCTTAGCCTTTTAGGGGGGGAAGCGATTTCCCAACTCATCTTTCCCTGGACCTATTTGCCTAAATTCACCAGGAAAGCAAAGATGGAGCTGTAATTTAAGCAGGAACCCTGATGTCCCTCCACAGCTTGGAGGGTCGCGTGTGCCCAGAGCTCCTGAGCAATGCACGGGAAAACCACCGAGCACCCAAGCGCAGTGACAGCAGCACCCCAGAGCTACCGTGAAGGACTCACGACTAAGAATAGGGCAGTTCCATGCTTTTATTCCACACCACAAAAAGGCAGTGAGTCAGTGATACATGCTTGAACCCCTGCAGGCACCCAAGAAAGCCAAGAAGCGGATTGAAGGTGCTAATTCCAACGTCTTCTCCATGTTTGAGCAGGCCCAGATCCAGGAATTCAAAGAGGTAGGTGGGTTTGGTAGAAATGACTGAGGGTCCTTGATGCGATGTGACCTTGAGCTCCTTCCTCCGCGCTTTCAGATGGGTGGCAGCACGCCCGGTTTTGAGTCGTTTTATTTTAAAAGTGCGAATAACGACTCGGTGACATTGTTAAATACGGCATCGCCTCGAAAAGCTTCCTGGGAGCCCGCGCCCCGCAGAGGAGCCAGCAGCATCCAGGAGAGCGGAAGAACGTCTCCCAGCCGGCTCCCACCTACCATGCCAGGAGCTCTGCACGACTTACCCCCTGCACGGCTGGCACAGCCCTGGGTAGATGCCAGTTACAGGGATAAGATATAAGGAAGATATAAGAAGAAATTATAATATAAGGAAGAAATTTTTTACAATGAGGGTGGTGAGGCACTGGAACAGGTTGCCCAGAGAAGTTGTGGCTGCCCCATCCCTGGAAGTGTTCAAGGCCAGGTTGGATGAGGCTTTGGGCAACCTGGTGTAGTGGAGGGTGTCTCTGCCCATGGCAGGAGGGTAGGAACTGGATGATCTTGAAAGTCCCTTCCAACCCAAACCATTCTGTGATTCTACGACAACTGGTCCCAGCTGGGGGAGCTGATGGCTCAGGCTGTCCTCCCTGGTTGGTCTCATCCCAGGGCAAGAGGGCTTTGTCCAAGGCAGAGGGTTTGTAGGGCATTAGGGTTTGGGCTGCTGTAGGACGTCGTCACTCCACGCTGCCCAAGGGCACAGGAGCCAGGATTGCTGCTGGATCAAGTTGTGGCTCCCCTTCCGCGGAGCCCCATCCTGGGCAAGGCTCAAAGTGCCCTTGTCCCATCCAAGCCAAAGGGAGGAGGAGGAGGGTACTAAAGCCTTTGCAAAGGCCAACAGCTCTCCCTGTGCTCCCTGCCCTCCTCCCGTGCTTTCAGGCCTTCACCATCATGGATCAGAACCGGGATGGCTTCATCGACAAGGCGGACCTGAGAGACACCTTTGCTGCGCTCGGTGAGTCCCCGGTTTGGATCTTCCCCTCAACAGCTTTGACGATGTTAGACCTCCTAAGCGAGAACCCAGCTGTGAGCTCCCGTTTAACGAAGCCCCAGCAGTTAACTGGATCTCCGGTTTTGCCAAAAACCCCCTGATCCAAAACTGCTTCTACCAGCCGGTGAGATCCCACACGGGGGCACTCAGAGCTGCTCCCGCAGCAGCAGGTGTTTGATCCTGTAGGTCCCAGAGAAGAGCCAGCTCCTGGGTTACCCACAGCCAAACCCTCCCGCATGGCTGTGCCCATCCCACGGCGTCCCCGGCTGTACGGGCATTGGGGGGGTTTACGGGATTTGTGGGAAGCTGTGAAGTTGGGAGCTTGGCTCCCTCATCACGGAGGCCAGCACGAACCAGCGATGGGGCTGGGGAGCCCCAAAGACAACCCACCCTCAGGCAGAAGGACGTAGGCGTTCAGTCCTGTTCACTCCTGACATTGGAGGCCAAGAGGAACCACGACCCTGGTGGTTTTGACCCAAAACGTCTTCCAAGGAGGGTTGAAGCAGGCTGATCCACGGGGCAGTGAGGGAAGGAAGCAGGACAGCTCAGTCCTTTGCAGTCCTTTTTTTCTGTGAGCTGGAGCCCAAGAAACCAGAGGTGGAGATGTCCAGCCCACTACCCCTTCCTGCTCCTGCTGCGGCCGTTCCTTGGCAGAGGTGGCTCCCCAGGGCTGTGCTGTTTCCCTCGAATGGGGGGAAAAACCTCCAGGGCAAAGCTCCTGTGATGTGTCCTTTAGCTTCCAGCACGTAGAGCAGAGCCCGGAGGTCTGCACGGATTTGCAGCTGGACAGGAACACACAATTCACCCAAAGCTGCTCTCCTCTAGGGCGCCTGAATGTGAAAAACGAGGAGATCGACGAGATGATAAAGGAGGCACCTGGCCCCATCAACTTCACTGTGTTCCTCACCATGTTTGGGGAGAAACTCAAGGGTGAGAAGGCACCCAGGGAGCTGGGGAGGGGTGTCAGTGGGGACACACACCACCACCGATATGCCACCCCAGCTGGGGAAGCCACCCAACTGGGAGCTGCTAAAGTGAAGGCAGCTGGCACGCA